ATACTCATCTAGTTATATATAAACAACAAACGAATGCGTAACGTGAAGAAAGCAATAACTTGAAACCAAACATTAAATTTATATAACATAGTACGAAACGATACAAATTACAATCACAAATGAGATACGGAAACAAACAACTCACAAAACCGCTACAAATTACAATCACAAATGACATACGGAAACAAACACAGAACGAAACCGCTACAAATTACAATCACAAATGACATACGGAAGAAAACATAGATCGAAACCGCTGCAAATTACACATCAACGCCTAATCCTAACTGGATAATTATTTTTGTTATGGCCCGGTTGATCACATCTACTACACTTATTTCTCCTCCTAACTCATTCACGACCGTCATCCATACAATTTCTAATTCGTACGGAATGAGGGCGCCCCGTGGACCTTTTACACAAAGGAGGTAATATCAGTGGCCCGTCTTGTGTCTAATATCGACTATCATATGGTGGACGAAAACACTCTTTGTATGTTTGTCGATAGTTGTAAGTAGAATACCAAGCCGTGACGAACTCATAATGTGAAATCCTTGCACCACCTTGTAGATCAGAACAAGCCGCGACAACATGTGAACAAGGAATCCATTGTAATTGCGGTACATTGCAAGTGCACGTACAGGAGTGATCCACTAACATGTTAACTTTGTAAGAGCGATTTTCTCTATGTGATATTCCCTCAATGACCTCCCATTCATTAAAACTGTATCTTACGACATGAAAGGATCGAGCTTGCACAATCCGAGCCGCTAACATTTCATCATTTTTCGGTGTGAGCTCCGAGCGGATATTTTCACCAAGTTCGTGACGTCGTAGAAAGAAGTTATTAAGTCTATAGAATGTTTTAGCAACTAGTGACTGTATTGGCATACCGCGGCTCCCCTGAGCACACCATTGAAACTCTCTGAAGTGTTCATAATCATCATACAGAACCGTTTCCCGCCATCTTCACATAAAGCGCACTTATCAACATTGTATGGTCCCAAACTAGTTTCGATCCAATCATGTGCAGCTCGGGAGATAAACTTAATCCTCTCTCGTATTTGGTCATAAACTAATTTTTCTGTTACACAGCCGGCTTGCCAAAGAAGATCTTGAACCTGACCGTTTCCATATTTCTTCTTGAAGTTGTCCCTAATATGTCGCAAGCAATAACGATGTGCATGTGATGACGGGAAATGACGTTGGAGTGCTCCTGGAATTCCTTTCATCCTATCAGATATGAATGTAATCGGCCATGCCCCCACACTAGGGATATGATACCTAATGCATGCAAAAAACCACGCCCAATTCTCTGTGTTTTCAATATCAACCACTGCAAACGCCAAAGGAAACAAACCGCCATCCGCGTCAACTCCGGTGGCAACAAGCAAAACGCCTTTGTACTTGCCGTATAAGTGGGTGCCATCAATGCTAAGAAGAGGACGACAATATTGGAAACCCTCAATACAAGGCCCAAATGCCCAAAATACACCCGTAAATTGTCGTTCTTCGCCATCAAGAGGGTCTGATGAAACTTCATATACAGTCCCAGGATTTTCTCTTTTGAGTGCTTCAAGATAATGCGGTAAGATCTCATAAGATTTGTCCCAATCCCTAAATATTTTTATCATTGCCTTCCTCCTAGCATTCCAACACTTATTGTATGATACATCTAAGTTGATCACTTTATGCACTAAAAGACGAATATCTTTTGACCGTAGATCAAGATCCTCCCTCAGATGCGGTAAAATCAATTGATATATAAAAGAAGAGGACGCATGCTTGTTATTCATCTCCAATCGAGGATTGCTACATGTGTGGACTCCGTTGTACGCCGTGATTTTGAAATGCCCACCTACTCTTACACCCGAACGTGAATTAAGCTTCCAAGGACAATTCACATTCCTGTCGTAGTGTCCATCAAGATCTTCATCTTCACCATCTTTGCGATAAAAACAAACCACATTATAGCTTGTTGTGTTATTTTTTGTTGGCCTAAACTTGGCATCTTTTGCAATGGCATACGAGCGAAGCGCATGGATCAATTTCTCCTTGCTCTCATATAGATCTCCCTTCACGAATGAGAAGTCCTCGCCCTGTGTATCATGATTGCTATTAGTGCCAATATGAACACTTTCCATCACGGAGTTATCGATCCATTCTTCTCCTTGAAGTTCATCGGGCGGCGGATCCTCTAAGACAACATACTCATTATTAGCATAACACCCGTTAATGTTGTGGTTGTCCCCTTCATCACGATCTATCAAGGTCATGCTATTAATTTGTAAGCCCTCCTCTTCATCACCATTCTCAGATTCAACACTTGCATTATCTTCTTGAACTCTCGTGTTAGTATCGACCGCATTCGAAGTGCCCATAAGCGAAGGACCGCTCATATATTATGATTGTGTCCAACCTTCATCTTGTTGAGGAGATAAAAAGCCAACGGAATCAACATCAGGGTCCTCCAACATGCAGGAATACATTCCGTCATAATTCAACAATTTGCCCAAATTCCTTTGATGTTTTTCAATGAACAATTCAATCGACCGCTTCCCGTCATGTAAGACTCCAATGAGACTCATATCGTAGTCACTTGATATTTGAATTCCGCTTGTTCTGTTCCCCACAATAGGATAATTGCAAATAACATTGAGGTGATACTCACGTGAGTTGGTTAATGTAAGTTTGTGTAATTCATTAACCAACTCATCGAAAGTACACGATTTTGTTATAAAAAACAGTCTCGTCACACCTCCTTCATAAACGGGCATATTATTTTCGACGTAGTTAATCCTTCCATCATAAGAACAAAGAATTACGATTCGATCGTTCATCGTTACCTCTGAAAAGATCAATATTACACAAAAAAAACTTTAGAAATTAATTGTTACTAATAATTAAATCCTATATCAATTTTAGATGACCATAATTTAACCCAAATTCATATATCAAATTTTAAATTCTATATAAACTTTAGAAATAAACTAATTTTTACATTTTTTATAATTCCCCCTCTAAATCCACAAAATTATCCCAATTTTCTTCACAATTCACAATTTTTCTTCACAAAAATCATCATGAATAAACACAATTAACACAATTAATTTTCTTCACAAAAATCATCAACAATTCACAATTTTTCTTCACAAAAATTATCCCAAATTCATATATCAAATTTTAAATTCTATAACAACTTTAGAAATAAACTAATTTTTACATTTTTTATAATTCCCCCTCTAAATCCACAAAATTATCCCAATTTTCTTCACAATTCACAATTTTTCTTCACAAAAATCATCATGAAGTTACACAATTAATTTTCTTCACAAAAATCATCAACAATTCACAATTAACACAATTAATTTCTAAAATCTAATTTTTTACATGAGATCACCATGAATTAGTGACAATATACAAGAAATAAAGAAAAACAATTTTTAGAAGAATTTACCTTCAATTAGTCGATGCCCTAATTCGTAGTGAACTCCGGCGACAACGACGGCGAGAGCGCTAAACTCCAACGGGATGGGAACTGGCGGCGGAGGCGGTCGAAAACGGGGGCGGCGCCGGCGGTGGGGGCCCTTGTCGACGGCGGTGGTGGTTGGGGACGAGGGAGAGAGGGGCTAGGGTTTTCGTTTGAGGAGGAGAAGTGAGAGACAAACGCGGCGGCGGTGGTGGTTGGGGACGAGGGAGAGGGGCTAGGGTTTTTGTTTGAGAAGGAGCGGTGAAGTCTGTTAGAGGATCGACTGACTTGCACCTTTTATAGTCAGGCCAACACTCCACGGGAGTTCAACTCCCGTGGAGTTGCAGGAAAAAATTGCCAGAGAATCGATCTCTGGCAATTGGGGACTGTAACTCCACGGGAGTTCAACTCCCGTGAAGTTTTCATCCCTGCAACAGACTTACGGGAGTTGAACTCCCGTGAAATTTATTTGATAAATTAAACTTCACAGGAGTTCAACTCCCGTGAAGTTTAAAATTATAGTAAACTTCACGGGAGTTGAACTCCCGTGAAGTCTCGTAATTTTTTTTCAGAAACTGACGTGGTTTCAGCGTCAGGGCTGAAACCAGGTCGGTTTCTGCAAATAAGTATAAAATAGGTTGGTTTTTGCAATTAAATATCCAAAAGTGTTTGTTTTGAAAATTTGTCCTTAAGGATAATATTGTCCTTTCAGGCATTATTTAACATAATTTATAATGAATGCTTATGGGACCAACTTTATACCTAACAAAGGAATAAGACTAAAAGTTGAGAAAAAAAGTGTGATGACTAATTTGAGCGTAGGCCCTAGTACATGGACCAAATTGGCCTTTTAGCCTTCTTTAAAATAAAAGAACAAAACCTTAATTGACAGAGGGTGAAATGGATGTAAATAAAGAAATTAACACTAGCTGTTTAACGAATGGTAAAAAGGAACTTTGTTTATTACAGTACGAGGACTAAGTTGAGAAAAAAAACTAAGGAGTAAGTTGAGGAGAAAAAAACAAAGCTGACACCAATTTGAGTATAAAGAGCTGTTTGGCTGGTTTCCTTGAAATAAAGAAAATCAAAATTGGGGATGAAAATAATTAAGAATAAGTTTTCACTCATTTCCTTACAAAAATCTAAAAAAGAAGTTTCCTTAATGGCCTGTTTGGATAGAGGATAGAGAGGTGGAAGGGAAGTAAAATTTTATTTTAACATTGTTTGGAAGTTTCATTTAGAAGGATAGATGAGGGAAATGAAGAGAAAATTTGGTCCAAATTCTTACACCCCAAATTGGAGTGTAATGGATGAGAAAGGAAGGAAGGGGAATTTTTCCCCCTTCCTTCCCCTTCTTTCCATTTCTAAATAAACTCCCAAACACACCATAAGTATAAGCCACGTCGACCAATGAAAATGTGTTATATAATCTTTTTACTTTGTTTCAATATGTGAAAAAAATATAACTATTATAATAAATACATTTTTTATATTTGATTTCCTTGAGTTTTGGGGGAAAAAAAGAAAAAAAGGGAACCATTTTTCGTATGCAGGCTCAGTCCAGCGACCGAATTGTGGCCTTTCAAAAAACTAGAGCTCAGATTCAATATGTTTCCAATTTTTCTAATGGTTCGATTCGATGCTCAGATCTCGATCTCGAGCTCTGCTCGTCAAAACTCTAGCTCTCCGCCTTCCTCTCAACCACACCCTTGTCCAATCCTTTCCCCAAATCTCTTCTCTTTCCAATTCGCTCCGACTCCAGCTAGGGATTCATAAAGGTACCCTAATTCGAAAATTTACAGTATTTTTCTTGTTTTGTGCTTGATTAATATCAAATTTTACATTAAGAAATACTGAAATTGGAGTTGATTAGGGTTTAAGAGAATCGTGACGAGTGAATTGGGCAAGTCTTCATCAGTGATGGCTGATAGAGTGGAGAATCTTAAATTGCTAACTGCAGTGAATGATCACCATGGAGGTGTCGTTGTTGAGTTGAAGGCTCCCATGGATGCTGCTGCTTTTGTACAGTCGTTGAGAGCATCGATTGCTTACTGGCGGCAGCAGGTTTATTTTATTTTATTTTATTTTATTGCTTGAAATATTTGCTTAAAATCTGAATGTTTAACAAAGTGACTGTCAATTATTAGGGATTTTGCTTACAAATATATGTACTATTTTTATTAGAGAAAGATATCGCAAACTGTTTTCATTAAATACTAAACACTGCTACTGACTGACGGACATAGGTGCAGGTTGACTCGTTATGTGCACACGACATGTTGTAGATGTTCTTGATCTTGGAAACTTTATACTACTACTCTCATTCTTTCGTCTTCATTGTTTTAGATATCCCCGATATGGCCCGGTATATCCCGCGATATATCCTTTTATAGGGCTTACCGCAAACGATATGATCTCTAAATATCTTTTATCACTTTTGGGCGATATATCCCCGATATGGCCGATATATCAGCCGATATATAGACCAATATATCTTTTTATATGGTTTATTGCAAAACAATATACCGTGTTGAGCAATTTTTGGGCAAGATATCATGATTTCCCCATTATATCAAATGATGTTTTGCCCTTAAAAAATCAGATCAAATGTTGCACCGTTCATTTGTACTTTTGTTTGTTTTACAAGGTTGAATAGTGATCCTAAACGTATATTATTTATATTTTACATGCTCAGATTTTATTAAGTATGTTGAGATTACATTTTAGTGCATTATACTATATATGCAAACATCCGTTATGGCATTCCGATATTACCACATATCCCTGATATTTTCCCGATATTTGCAATCCGATATGAATTTTGGTCATCCGATATTTTCCCAATACCCCATATTTAAAACCTTGATCGTCTTAATAATTAATTATTAGGATGATGGTCTTTTTTGACAATGTTGTTAGAGTTGGTAGGGTAATTTTCTATTAGTGTGTCATGTTTGTTTGCAGATATGGAACTTTTTGGTATTTATCCGATAAAAATAGGGTTAAATTGCACTTGAACACATAAAGTTTCCCCGCTCTGTCACTTATATACCACATGTCGTATCTTTTGGCAGAAAAATACCATAAATTGTAAAAAAATATGCACATCAGTACTATTGATCATGCAAACGTGAAATTTTCATCCGGATGTTTCTCTATGATACTTACATGCTAATTTTAGATCTTTTAACTATTGATATTTGTTAAATTTGCTATTAAATCAACAAAACTTCTTTTTCATACTTGTCTTAGTTCTACATTAAAATAGAGTTGGGATATGTCATATGATAAAGTTAACCAATATTAATGGGTAGAAAGTTATAAAATTACCATGTTAGTGTCATATGGGAACATTCAGGTGAAAAGTTTCACATTTGCATGATCGGGGGTACTAACATGCCAACATTTTAATAACTTATGATATTTTTCTGCCACCAAATACAACTTGTGGTATATAAGTGACAGTGGGGAAAGTTGTGGTATTTAAGTGCAATTTAGCCTAAAAGTAGGTTGTGGTAGTTTTATAAACATTTAATAGTTTATGGTAGGTTTTTTTTTGAAATTTACTCAAAAACTACATGGAAGAAAAAGATCAGTTATTGTTTAAACTGATTGAAAAGGTCATAGACTGAAAGATGGTTAGAAAGGTCTATAGAAACACTTGAATTTTTATTGCATAACTCTGGAAAAATGGAAATAAAAGAAAATAATGTGTTTCTTTGCATTTTGTATACAGATGATCCATAAGTGTATCTGTGAAGTAGGTTCTAGACATTGAAAGTCATCAACTAATCCTATCTCTTATGCGGTAGAAATCACAGTTGGAATGTGAGTATAGCTTGCAAAATACCTGAAGTGATGCACATTTTGTAATTGCTTATGGGCTTATAGCTACATCAAGTATTTGAAACGATATGGATTTCACACTCATGTCATATTAATGCATCCATGTTGGTTTTGTTAAATGGATTTTGACCAACTACGTTATTGTTTATCATGTCACCATCTTTTTATTTATTTTCTACTCTCCTTTCATAACTTCAATTTATTATGGCTAAAAACAACATTATCTCTCAATATACTAATGTGTAGTTCATCGTCACTTTTAGCGCTTAATACATCATAGTCTTAATTCACTGCATCTATGGATGCCAATTTGGGTTATTTTTACTTTTTCAGGGGAAAAAAGGTGTTTGGATAAAATTGCCAATTGAACTTGCAAATCTTGTTCAACCAACCGTCGAGGTAATAATTGTTAATCTGTCAAACATGGCAATATTTTTCCATTCCTAAAGAACATTTAGTAGTTGATTTTTTTTCTTTATTATTTTTTTCCTTTTATCTTTTTTCTTCTTTGCTATTGATGAAGAAAGATGGTATAATAAATTTTAGATGATACTATGCTTGTATGTATGTATACAAGATTTATGTGTGTATATAGGGGCTTAAGATATAATGACTGGTGTTTCAACTATTAGTATCCTCTAATATATAGACTTGTAGTATCCTCTAATATAAGCCTTCTTCAAGCACGTGCTTAATTTTAGTCAGAATTGGACTTGATTAAGAGCTTCTCCGCTCTGACCTTAATATATCAAACTTGCTACAAGGTCTTAAAATTTAGAACCCCAAGCTCTCACAAAGAGTTTCTTCGTGTAAATTGATTGCTTTAATATAAAAGGATCGTTTTCTTACCGGAAGAAACGAGTTAATCCAATTCAGTACGAGTATGTAATGAGGAACGTAAGCAGGGAATGATATAATTTCAAACGTTTGCTTCGATTTCTTCACAGTTGGTTATCATCAATTCTACTAATGCTGAGATAGACAGTGCAATATTTTAGGAATATTAAGTGGATCGTCACGGTAGGTCAAATACAAGATTGTCCAAATAGGGGATCTAAGAGGTTGTATTCAGCCTAGATTTTGCTTTACTCATACTTTCAGTTATAACATTATCGATGACAAGCATTAAGCAACGAAATCACCTTTCAATTTCAAGAATACGAGTTAATTGTGACCATAGTTGAGGGGTGGGGTCTATGAGGGTGCCCTGAAAGGGAAGAAATGTGAGCAAATTAAAATTGATTTAAGGGGGTGTAGGTGTACTGTCTTGTTGAGCCCTCTAGCGGATGAAATCTTTAGAAGGGAATCATCTCAAGTTTCTTTTTCAATCGCAAAATGGACCCTCTTTTCTCTTCTCAACAAATGCAAAAATCTTGGAGATAATTACTTAAGTTGTATCTGATATGCGGAAGCAACATTGCCATCTCTCAGGAATATGGTTTCGTGACTGTAGATTCTTGAAATTATAGCATTATCATGTTCCACCAGCTTTAGTCTGGTGCAAAGCACGGGTTAATGTTATGTTGTTTTCTTTTTCCTTGGACGTCATGTATTAGTGGTGCATGCAGTTTTGAATTTGGTACCAATCTAATATGCTATTAAGGCATGACAAGTGAAATTCAAATTTCTTTGTTTTTGAATTTGGTTCATTTTTTAATGTTTTGGAAGTGAGGATGGTTAGTGTAGATGCTACAGTATTTTCATCCTGCTGCTTTAATTATATAGTAATTGGTAGGAATATCTTAGCTAATGTACTAGTTTTGCCTTGTCACATTGAATAGATTCCTAATTTTTCCTTTTCACATTAAAAAGATTCCAACTGCAATGTTGCTCAGTGTACTTCTCCAAACTAACCCTATGAGGTGCAAGGATGGTGGTGTGGGACTGTGGGCCAGGAATATATGGCGGACATTGTGGTGGCAGTGGTGGCTGCAACATGGAAACAACAATATGGGCATCTTGGTTGCATTTTTTTTTGATGGAAGCCCCTACAGTGGTAGTCATACCAACCTACAGTAGGGAATCATATTCACACTAAATGACGGAATACAATGCTGATAAGAATCTAGCATTGGGAGAAGTCTGAATTACAATTATGGAAGTCACGGGATCTTTGATTCCCAAGTGAAATTTCTGTGTACCAAACTGACCCTTAGAATTATAAATTACTATATAACAAAAGCAGAGGGATGGAAAGTATTGTATCGACTACAGTACCCATGTTTACTACCAATCCATACAAAAAGGCACCCAAATTTAAAAACAATGAAGAATTTCATTTGTCATATCTCGATCGCAAATCAGCTTGCTATCAAGTTCAAAAACTACATGCACCACTCATGCACGAAGCCCAAGGGAAAAAACAAAATAAATTAACACTAACCAGTTCTTTGCACGGGCACTAAAGGTAGGGGCGAAAATAGTAAAGAAGAGTTTCAAGAGAATGCATCGACTAAAAGCTTGTGAAGTAAATGTTGTTGATAGCTAAGCATTAGATATAACTTCTGCTAGTGAATAATATGACTTTGGTCAAGCACCTTAAATTGCAGGCTTGGCATTGAATTTGATTCTACCTAATTGTTGTACATTTGATTAACTTTTGGATATGTAATAGTTTTCATTAATGCTAAGGCTGCATGTCAAAAATTTGAGTCTACTGCATGTGTCACAAATGCATGATCTGGTCATACGTATTGAGAGACTTTGTGTTAGTTATTTCGTATTCAAATTTTAGTGGAAATTAATCTTAACAAACTAGTGTATATATGGCATCACAGCATGCTAGTCAAGCAGTTACTACCAAAGTTTTAAATGTTAGATATTAGGTTTATGTCGGACGGCTAAAATTCATGTCGGATAGCGGAAATCGAGGATATGTATTAACTATCGGATTGCCATACTAGATGTTGTGCATGTGTATAATATAACGTCATAAACACAATCTAAGCATACTTAATAAATTTTGTAGTATGAACAAATAAAAAGTATCATAGAGCTTGTAAATAACATTCTCAGAACCTCGTTAGATAACTATTAAAGCTTTAACTTGATAGCTTTCCCTCATAAAATATGAAAATATATTTGATTTCATAACCTTTAATTCTAATTTATAGAAACATAGACTGAGAGGGAGAGGGAGAGAGAGGAGAGACTGTGATGCGAAACAATGTAATGCAGGTACGAAGATTGACAACAATGCTTCGCCAAGTCAGCGATCGATCTAAGCAGGAAATTCAAGAGTGAAATGAAGCGAACGATGGTTTATAAGCAAAACTTGCAATGTAATAAGTGTGAACCTTTGTAAAATTATTCTGATAAATAATGTAATGATTCGTTCTGTTAATACAGTTCAAATTGTAATATTTAGAGAAGCAGAAATACTTAGCAACAGATTCACTCGCTCACTAATCAAACTGAATACAGCACAAGCACAATCGATAATAATATTGATAACAACATGCATGCAACAGCAGTTCCGAAAATATTTGGGCGAAAGAAAGTTAAACCTTCATCGGGCTGAACTGGGTCGACGGGAGGCTCCTCTGGAGGTGGCTCGTACACGCCGAAGATGAGGGGAGGAAGTTCTCCGAGAGCCACGTAATTGGGATGAAGTGGCGCGTCTGGATTGAAACGCCTATGAAATGAACTGATGCCTAACTGGTCTTCCACACTACTGACAATCTGATGAGTCACGCATTCGACGTATTCGGGCACAGTCTCGAACGTCTAATAGTCGAACCACGGGGAAAGCTGTAAATCAATGATGCCGGTCTCTGGATCAAGCACGAGTTCGTAGTCTTCAGCGTCGGGATCAGCCATACACCAACAAATCACATAAAGTCGGATCCAATCTCGACGACAATAATGGGAGGAGACAGAGTTATCTCTGTGGGAGTACTGTTCGCAGGGGAAGATGACAGGGAAAAGGAGTGGGTTTCTGGGACTACTCAAGTGAAAGGAGAACAGGAGAGTGTTGAACGGATCTGTGGAGGAGGGAGGGGGGAAACTGATGGTGGGGTTTGTTGACGAAGGAATAGGGGACGGCCAAAACGGGACGGTGCGTCGGAGGAGGGGGCCTGTGGTGCGCGATGTTGGCAGGTGCGCGCTGAGGCTTTGAGAGGAAGGTGGTTGGTGAAGGTTTGAAATGAGGAGGACTGGACCGTCAGGGGCGGCGCTGATGTGAAGTTGACGAGGATTTGGGGTCGCAGGTGGTGGGTTATCTGGACTTGTGGAGGATGCGGTCGGGGATTCGGGCGGCGAACTGGTGAAGAGGGAGGTGGAGTTGGGTTTTGGGTTATTTGAGTTTAAGGAGGAAGATGAACAATAACGATTTTTTTTTAAATGGCTGCAGAGAAGAAAACGAAATTACTGCTAGGGTTTCACACCACAATCAAGCAAGATAATTTTTATTTTTATTCTTTAATAATTCCAATCTAATTACAAGAGTTCTTAAATAAAGAAAAATTACAGAATTGGAAAATTCTCTAAATCCCTCAAATCTCTCTCATAATCAATTAACTAATTAGCTACCAAATAAAATCAAAATTCAAACTTCGAAATTCAAAATTCAAAATTCGAAATTCAAAATTTAAATCTAACAAAATAGGAAGTCTGCTCAATCCACTCTAGCTGCCGAATCTGTCATCAATCAAATCAAAACCAGATATTAGGAATCCGGTACAAAGCTGAAACACAGCGTTTCCTGCGCTGATAAACACGGTGAAAGTCCCGTGCACGTATCTGGATGTCCTCATCAGGCTGAGTCTTATAGAGAGATGGAGAGAGAGAGAGAGAGAGAGAGAGAGAGAGAGAGAGAGAGTATTCCATAGTTGCATGGAACCTGGTTCGTTCCGATTCATAGGACGGGCACGGGAATGTGGTACACTATTTGTTAGGATTCGGGTACGATGTGGGTAGACTTATATGGTATGTCAGGGAACATGGTACGCTTTAGGTTCTGTTCTTAAATGCTAATTGATATCACTGATGGTAAAAGAACCTTAAAGATCATGTTGCAATTAAGATATGCATGCTTTATTTGCTTAATTTATCACGTTTTTTGTTATTTATTCTTTTTAAAAAGAGTTATTTTTTTTAAATTTTAACTGGTTTGAAAATCGGGTCGCTAGAGTTGGTGAATCGGGTTGTGTTCCACGCAAATCTGGGACGATTGAACTCGGGTTGCAGTTCGTTTAGCGTCCCACGTTTCTGACTTCTATGGATTATCCTTTGGAATTCGAAGCCCTAGTTTCCACTTTCCATTGCCAATTGTCGAACTGAATCCTCTTCAAAGCCCCAACTCCACCTGAAACTGAAAGAGAGAGGAGCCTAAGAGGAGAGGTCAAGAGAGGGCTGTAAAGAAGGAGAGAGAGGGAGAGTGTACCTCGAATTCGATGGAG